TTTTTTTTTTTTTTTTTTTTTTTTTTTTTTTTTTTTTTTTTTTTTTTGCTTTAACTTATCAACGCTTGAAGATAGATAAATAAAAATAAAATGTTTATTTATTTAGTCAGTTAATATAATTAAATTACATTTAATATGACATTAATATAAACAATTGTCTCTGTCTGTTGACATTGTGTTGTAAACGAACTCCTTTTAAACCTTCAAATCTATGTAATTAATTAAATTAAAAAGTGTAAACAAAGTGTTGTTAAAACGAAATGATTGATTAGAGGGATTACAAGGGAAGTTTTCCTTGTAATATTTACATTCGTGAAAATCATTGACCTTATGGCCTACAAATTGTAAAAGTAATAAACTTTGAATTTATACAGTCTTTAAGCCATACAGTGCAATATAAATAATAAATAAATAAAAATAAGTAAAAATACAATAAAGACTCAAAGTCTATCATTAAAAAGCCTAAACGACCCTCTCTACAGTTGTTCATATAATGACTTTATCATAGCATTGCGTTATATGGGCAGTGGCCGAAAAAGTGTTCCGATCCAAAGCATTTCCAATAACTTTCGGTTCTTGGTTTGAAGGTTGAAATTTTTCTGTATTTACTTTTAAGGAAAACTCTACTATCTATGTGCAAAAATGATAAAAATCAACCATGCCCACACAAAGCTGTAAGTGATTAAATTTTATTTTTTTCAGGTTTTTTACTTATTACTTACTCACTTATAAGGCAAATAAGACAGAATGTATAAAATTATTTTGTACCGTCCCTCCTTTGCCTAAAAATGCGTGAATTGTAAAATAAATACGATAGGCATCATCATGATGCGGTGAACTACTTTTTTTCTGAATAATACCATCAATGTGGGCGCGATATGTCTTGCATTTGATATAAAAGGACTTGGATAAGAGAATCCGCCACACCAAGTGCGTTAATTCCAAATTAATTATAACGGACGTCACGACGTCATGGATTTAATTGTTTTTTCTTAACAAGACCCACAGCCGTATATAACTTTCTTAGTTTTGGATATTTTTTTATTCTCTCGTTTTCATTCTCCATATGAAGTCGTCGACCACGTGCGCGAAAGGACTCGCATGCATAGAGATGAAACTTTCTTTTCATAAATCAAGATCATTAAGAGGACTATTCGACTGTTAAGAATGTTTTCAGTCATTTGCTCTTGTGTTTGTTACGTATCGCACACTTTCTGCTCTTTCTCGCCGATTCTAATTTCTTTATCATATTTGTTATAAGTTGAGTATAAAAAACTTCTACTTCTTGCTTAAATATGAAGCACATTGCCAGGCGATCATAAAGAATACAAAAAAAGAAGTTTCTTCATAGCATACCGGCCGATTATCTATTAAATATCAATCACAAGAATATTGTTTCAAGCTATTGCTATGCAATGATTTCTGAGCAAACACTACCGCATCAATTGGATATGGCTTGTCTGTGACTTTCTATCGCCTATCACCTATAACACAACTAACATATCCATGCAGACGGAGACTTGAGCGAATTCAAGGCATAAATGAAAGCTTGACAAAAGAGGGAGTTGAGTGTCTTTATATTGTCAATAATGGGCAATTTGACGCCTTTAAAATAAAAATTTGCTGAATAAATGCTTTTATTGACAATTACGGATACTTTTTACACATTATTACTATTTTTTGTCATCTCTTAGTTCATTTGAAACTTTACACATATGTACTTGAGTTTGATCGGGATAGGGATAGTAGTAGGTCTGGGGGAATAAAATTTTCTAAAGATTGCTGCTCTAAATGACTTGGAAGACGGTGAAAATTTGTCGAGCAATAAAACGAGTCATGTCATTCAATTCATGCAGCTTAAGTATATCGAAATTTCACATTTCAAGGTTATCGTAATCTCTTTACTTCTTTACCTTTCATCGCTTAACCTTTACAATTAGTTGCCTTCATTCTTAAAGCAATAGTTTCTCCCAGTGTTTAATTTTTATTTTTATTTTTTTTTTTCACTTTTATCGCTTTGCCTTAGTTTATTTTCGTATCTACTGTTACCGGCATGTCGATAATAACCTTTTAAATCGATTAGATTTTAGTTTTTTATGTATTTGCGATCGAATTGCGTTTAACGTTGAAATTCGGTTATCAGATGAATGGTCTTTGAAAACCTTTGCTGGGTTTTGTTTTAACGCTTTGAGCATTACACTCTGGCCATTCGTTTGTGCGCGTTCACCTGCTGATTTTGCAGGATGGTTAAGCCGGTGCGTGAATACTGACCGCGGTGTGCGGTGTGTTTAAGAAAATTCTCATCAACTGAAGTAATTAAAAATAAGCTTTAGCTTTATGCTGCTTATAAATTGTTTTGCAAACAATAGAATTTC